CTGCTGCTGCTGCTGCTGCTACTACTACTACTACTACTACTACTGCATTTATCTAGCACATCCCTACGCTTGCAAGCATGCTTTATACGCGTCACAACAGTATTAACTCTTTTCGCGCTCGAGGGATTTCCACAGCTACGCACATGTCACACATGTCTACTGTGAATGTGACAGGTCAATTAAACTAGGTCACGTTGGTGGAGGCTGCTGTAAAAAAAACAAACTTATTCTATCAAACGAAGTTGACAAGGGAATGATCAGAACGGAGACAACAGAACAAAGTACAAGAGGATGTTCTGAAAAAATGGTGTACACCTAAAGAGTCAGTGCTTTGGAAAAAGGGGTCTATTTCGCGGCGGAGCTAATACCATAATGTGGACGATGGATCGAACTTGGCACTGCGCTATCCCAGATTTACAAAGTTCTATCTGATGTCTTTAACCGTTTTGAGTTTCTAAGATCAGGAGCTCAGAAACCAAATGTTCTATCTGCTCTATCAAAATCATAAGATCATCCCGAGTTGAAATCAAGATATTCAAAGCTTAAAAAAGCTTGACATATGGGGAAATTCAAAATTTCTGCATCAGATTTCTCAAAAATATTAACTGAGCAGATAGAACTTTGCTATTCTAAGGTAACGTTTTGCTTACATCGGTGCAGAAATAGTTTTACCGGTGAATAAAGTTAGTGCATCCTTTGGATTCGGGAGACTTAGATCAAGGGTTTGGGACCTCTGTGTCTTTTGCATTGAGACAAAGTTGAACGTCTGCAACTCTGTTGTCCTCACAACCCTGCGGTACGCGCTGAGACCTGGACAATGAGTCAAAGCCCTGTCAAGAAACGCAATCAATTTCACATGACACGTCTCAGGAGATTTCCTGGCATCAAATGGCATGCTTCTAAAAAAAAGTCAAACGCCGAGAGTCTGTTTTCTATGCTCAAAAGGACTCAGCTTCCCTGAGCTGTTCATGTCGTAAGAAAGCCTGGTTTCAGAATCCCAGACGCGGTATTCTATTCCGAGTTGTCCATAGCTAAACATAAAACAATGGAGAAACCCCTAGAGGCCCATTTGCAGACCGGCGGTGTCACAATAGGAGGCAAAACATAATGAGGCTTCACAAATCAGTAATGTTGAAGCCCGCAAGCTGCGCACTTCCGCAAGTGGAAATAAGGCTTTCAAATGCTTAAAATAATGGGAGGAAATCTTCTCAGCCAAAAGCCTTCTTTCATCTTATTATTTCTTTTTTCCCTATTGAGAAGTATTCCCTTCTGCAGATGCGTTAGCCACCGTCAGATATTGATTAACAAACTATTATTATTGATTGCACTGTATTGTCTCCCAGGACGTTAAAATTGTTTCAGATTGGTATCAAGTCTGCTTGGGTAATAACAGATTGTAGCACGTATAGGGCTTGTTGTTGAACGGGAATTTGCGCTAGACAGATGCTATTTATTATTATTGCCTGAAAAGTGATAGACTCTACGATCCAGTAGAAAACACACACACACACACA